AAATTAGTGACTTATTTCATCATCCTGGCCATGTGCTTAGTTTGAGCATAGAGATATGGAGCATGGGCTGAATGGGGTAGGCCGAGGAAGAAGTCTACAGTACGCTAATGCTTACAGACCTACTGCAACACACAGAAGGTAGGTCTTACCTTAAGGTCATTTGAAATCAGGTGAATGAAAACTAAGTTAAGCTGTCACTCATTTCTGACCAAGCTCTATTCTTTATTAGATCAAAAAGATCAGCCTTTCACTCTAGCTGTCTTACAATGAAAGGGCAATGCTCTTTCAGAGGAAAAACTACCAACTTCAGTATCAATGTTTTTTTTTATACACGTTTGCCATGCAATCAAAAAATTATGAAGTATACCAAAAAGTAGAAAAATGTAATACATAATCAAGCATAAAAACTGCCAATAGATGTAGATACAAGAACAACATACTAGAATTATAGACAATAATTAAACAATTATTAGTTATGTTAAATACTGTAGAGGAAAACATGGACAAAAGAGATACATTATTAATAAATTTATTAGAGAAATTGGTTCTCTGAGAAGAATGTAGTAAATATTTTGGAAGTGAAAAGTGCTATATCTGAAGTTAAGAAAGTGTTGCCTAGAGTGAATAGTACAATACATAAGAAAAAAGCCTCATTGCAAATGTATAATAGACATTATACAAACTGAAGCACAAATAGCTAAAAGCATATCTAACACCAATAACAAAGGAGTAGAGTCTGACTCGGTTAATTGTCTGACAGATGTTCAACTAGAATCCCTGAAGACAGAAAGAATGGAGTAAAGCAATATTTTACCTCAGATGGGAGGACAGAGATTCAGAAACAAATAACAAGAATTTAGAATGATAAATATGTCAGAACACATAAAAGACTATTTTATTTAATTATACAAATATTGACTGTTTAAAATAACAACTACATTCATGTGTTTTAGGGTTTATATAGACAAAAACAAAAGCAATATATATGACAACTATAGTACATAGAGAAGGATATTTTTCACTTTGTTGTAAGGTTTATATATTGCTTATGAAGTAGTAAAACACTAAAACAACAACAACAACAAGAACCAGAGTCCTCAAAATGAAATTATATTAAATGTTCAAATAAAACTTGAAAAGTCAGAAAAAGAGGAGGAAAAAAAGATAAACTGATACCACAAACAGAAAACAGTTACAAAAATGATAGATATTAATACACAACTATATTAATAATCACTTTTAATGTAAATGATTTAAATAGAGGAATGAAAAAGATTGACAAAATGGATAAAATATGGCCAAACTATTTTTTTCTACAAGAAATCCAGTTTAATTATAGAGACAGGCTAAAGCTAAAGGAATGGAGAAATATGAACTAACACTCTGACACTACCAAAAGAAAGCCAGAATGACCCTAATTTAGGCAAAGGAGACTTCAGAACAAGAAAAATTATCACAAGTAAGAGATTACATAATGATAAAAGGCCAAATCCCCAAGGAGAAATAATATTAAACATATATACACTCATAAGCATTGTGTCTAAATGCATAAGACAAAAACTAATAGAACTGAAAGGAGAAAAAGACCAATACACTATCATTGTTGGAACTACCAACAACCCTCTTTTACTAACTGACAGATCATGCTGTTTAAAAAAAAAAAAAAAAAAAAATGCTGATCTCATCAGTGCTATTAAACAACTTCATCTAATCGATATTTATAGAATACTATTCCCCAGAACAGAGGAATACACTTTTACCTCCAGCTCACATAGATCATTAAACAAGACAGACCACATTCTCTGCTATAAAACACAACTTAAAGGAATAGAAATTATATGAAATATTTTCTCAAATCACAATGGACTTGAACTGGAAATCACAACAGAAACATAGCTGTCCAATCTCAAAATATAGTAAAGTTAAACAACACACTTTCAAATAACAATAGAATCAGATAGGAAGTCTCAAGGGAAGTTAAAACAACACTTTGAATGAAGTGAAAATGAAAATACTGCATAACACAACATGCCAAAACTTACGGAATATATAAAAGCCATCCTAAGATCGAAATTTATAGTTATCAACATATTAAGAAGAAACGTCTCTAATCAACAACTTAAATTGACAATTTAAGGGACTAAATAAAGAAAACAAAGCAAACCCAAGGCTAGCAGAAGGGAGAAAATAATAAAGATTAGAGCAGAGAATGAAAAATAGTAGAGACAATTTAGTAAAAACAAGAGTTGATTCTCAAAAAGATTAACAAAATTTACAAACTTTTAGCTGGACTGACAAATTAAAAACAAGACCCAAATAACCAAAATTAGAAATGAAAGTAGCTTCTTACAGAAATAAAGAGGATACAAAGTGAATATAATGAACAATTGTACACCAATAAATTAGATAACCTAGATGAAAAAATTTCTAAAAATACACAAATTACCTAAATGGATTAAAAAAGAAAAGGAAAACCTCAATATATCTATAGCAAGAAATAAAATCAGTCATCAAAAACCTCCTAACAAAGTCCAGAACCAGATTACTTCATTGATGAATACTACCAAATGCTTAAAAAAAATTAACACATCTTTCTCAAGCTCTTCTAACAAAATGAAGAGGCAGGCACACTTTCTAACTAATTTATGAGGCCCACATTACTCTAACATCAAAGCCAGATAAAGACATCACAAGAAAATAAAATTACAGATAAATAATCCTTATTTTTGAGTATAGATGTAAAAGTCCTTAACAAAACACTATCAAACTGAACTCAATAGCATATTAAAAGGATGATACGCTGTGACCAAATGGGATTTATCTGAGGACTTCAAGGATCATTCAATGTATGAAAATCAATCAATGTAACACAATACATTAATAGAACAAAGAGGGGGAGAAAAGCACATGATAATCTTAATTGATACCAAATAGACATTTGACAATATCCAACACTCTTTTATCATTAAGAAAAAATACCAGAAAACTAGGAATATAAGTCAACTTTCTGAACATAATAAAGGGAACTTATTTTTAAAAATATTCTCAGCTAAGATTAAACTCAATTAACATTAAACTAAAATATTTGCCCCTAATTAGAAACATGACAAGGATACCACATTGACCAATGCTGTTCAACATTGTATTGGAAGTTTTAGCCAGAGCAATTAGATAAAGAAAAGAAATAAGAGGCATTTAAATTGAAAAGAAGGAATAAAACTATCTCTGTTTATACAGGACATGGTCCTGTATGTAGGAAATCCCAAAGAATCCACAACAAAGCTAACAGAGCTAAAAAATGAATTCGGCAAAGTTGTAGGATAAAAGATCATTACACAAACATTAGTTGTGTTGTTGTACATCTGCAATAAACATTCCAAAAAGAAAATGAAAACAATTCCATTCAAATAGTATGTGAAAAAATAAAATATCTAGTAATAAATTTGACCAAGGAGATAAAACTTATACATTGAAACCTACAAAATATTGTTCAAATAACTTACAGGACCCCTGAATAAATAAAAAGATATCCTGTATTAATGAGTAGGAAGACTTACTATTATTAAGATGTCAAGATCTCCTAAAACTATCTACAGAGTCATTGCAATTTCTACCAAAATTCCAACAGTCTTATTGCAGAAATGGAAAAGCAAAACTCAAATTATTTAGAGCTGAAATGAGTCCCAGTGGTTATTTGGGGCCCATTTTAACTTCATATAAATCTTGAAACAATCTTGATACATAAGAACAAAGTTTTATATATGTTTTTTCAAAACAATAAACAATTTCTATGTTTTTTGAGCAAAAATCTCAAATATTTAACCAAAGAAAATAATGGCCACTAAGCACATGAAAAGATGTTCAACATCATGTATCATCAGATAAATGCAAAACAAAACTATAATGTGAAATCATTCTACAACCACTTGAAGGCTAAAAATCAAAGTCTGACAGTACCAAATTCTGGCAAGGATTCATAGCTAGCAAAACTCCCAAACATTGTTGGTGGGAATGTAGAAAGGTACAACCATTTTGATGAACTATTTTCCAGATTCTTGTAACATTAAACATACATCTACCCATAACTTAGCAATTCCACTCTTGTAAACAAACCAGAGAGAAAAAGGCATGTCTTCAGAATATGACTTTTACAACAATGTCATTTCATTGACCTGATGTCCTTTGATGAAAAAAGTTAATTTTGATAATGTCCAATTTATCTATATTTTCTCTTTTGTTGCTCATGTTTTGGTGTCATATCTTAGAATATATTGCCAAATTCAAGGTCATGAAGCTTGATAAAAATAAATTTAGCTTTGCAAATTTGCACATATAATTTAATAGCAAAGAATGTGACTAAATTTTTTGAAGATTCTCAGGAGCACAGTTTGAACTATTCACATTGCAGTTGCCTTTGAAAGTCTGTTGGAACCACAGATTATTACTTGTTTCAAATGGACTATATGTACATTTTATTTTTACTATCAAGCTTATCATATTGAGTTTAAATTTTAAAAATTAATGCAAAAAATCATCGGAAAGACTTTCCTTTTATGGAAAANCATTCACATCTTCCAGTGAAGCACTGACTGTTGTTTTAAATTCTTCTTGGTATTGTTTTAGATTATTTAGGAAAGATTATGGTGAAAGGGGAAAGGTGAAGAAAATACTCATTTGGCTTTCTTGAAAATCTGTGTCAGGTCATTACCTCTATGATGACGTGGTTTAGTTGCCACATAAAAAAGACCTGGAGTTGGGCTATTATGCTCTGCTATACTGCTAACTTGTTGGTTAATGAAGCAAGTAAGACAACTTCTTATTCAAAATTGTTACCTCCAGCTGTGAATAAATCCGGCTTCTTTGGAAATGAGGCTAGCTAATATCTGAGTCCATACTATAACCTGTGAAACCTAAATATTTAGTGAGGGTATTTTTTAAAAATAGTCCGGAGGTCTTTTATTTATTTATTTTTTAATACCTATTATGCTATGGATTCATAGGGAATAGGTTCACAGCAGTTCAGTCTCCTTCCCATTGGTTCTCACAAAGTGTGCTTTTCTGGGTGGAGCAGGCTCTTGCTTCAGTTGAACCTAGGTACTTTTCTCTTTGGCTTCCTTCTTTTTCTGACCATTTTCCTGCACGCGTTTCAGGAAGCTATCTCAGCTCTTAGAGTGCTTAATGTGCTCAATACACACATTAATTCTCTTGGCAAGAATCTTGCCTTTAACGCTGGTAACGTTGTAGACTCTTCCAGTTTTGCCATAGTAACACTTGTGGGGCATTCCTTTTTGAACAGTGCCCATTCCCTTGATGTCGATACAGTAATATTACCATTCGTATAGATTCACATATGTGTGGCCAAAGGAACAACTCCATGTTTTCTAAAAGGCCTAGAGAACATGTATCAGGTCCCTCTCCTTTTTCCCTTTGTTTTAATCATTTTGGCAAATTTATGAAAGAAGAGAAAAGGAAGTTTCAGGCACATTTAAGCTGTAAGTAATCCAGTTTGGGAAGAATACAGGATAGTGAGAGATTATATTAGAATGTGAAGATATTGCATGAAAGAATAAAAAGAGACATCAGGAAACCATGGAAAGTTTTTGGGTACACATATAACATGATGAGAACATGAAGCATACACTTTAATAAGTTGATACGGTAGTTGTGTGGAGGGCAGTTTAGAATCAAGAATAGAGGCAGCAATGTCACGAACATGGCCATCTCTTATATTCCAAACCAATAATCCAAAGAAAAGATAATGAAGGCCTAATGTAGGATGACGACAGAAAAATTAAGAAAAAAGTAAGAATGTAAGGAGCACTGTGAGGTATGGAGCAAGACTGTGTAATAAAAGCCTATGCTGTTTGTCCCCTTCACCCCCTATCCCATGCTGGAATACTGAATAAAAATAGCTGTTTGGTAACCTCAGTTTCACTTGTTCAAAGCTGTTTCATTGTGGGAGTACTCTCTCAACATGTTTTGTATTCACTGTATTAAAGGAATCTCTTTAAACAACAACGGCAAAGGTTGCAGTGAGCCAAGATCGTGCCATTAAAAAAAAACTTGGGCAATAAGAAAAAAAAAAAAAAAAAAAAAAAAAAAAAAAAAAAGAAAAGGGAAATACTTCAAAATTCATTCTACAAGGCTAATATTACCCTGCTGCCAAAAAACAGAAAAAGACACATCAAAAAAAAGAAAACTACAGGCCGATATCTCTGATAAATATTGATGCAAAAATCGTCAACAGAATACTAGCAAACTGAATTCCACAAAATATTTTTTTTAATCATTCATCGTGAGCAAATGAGATTTATTCCAGGGATGCAAGGATGACTCAACATACACGAATTAATCAATGTGATACATCATATCAAGGGAATAAGGGAGAAAAACCTATCATCATTTCAATTAATATTGAAAAAGCATTTGATAAAGTTCAACATCCTTTCATGATTAAAAACTCTAAAAAAAAAAAAAAACCCTAAATATAGAAGGAAAATATCTCAACATAATTAAAGCCATATATGACAGACCCATAGCTAGTGTCATAATAAATGGAATAAAACTGAAAGCCTTTCCTCCTAGATCTGGAACATAACAAGGATGACTACTCTCACTGCTGTTATTCAACATAGTACTGGAAGTCTTAGCTAGAGCAATCAGACAAGAGAAAAAATAAAGGGCATCCAAACTGGAAAAAGTAGAGTTAGCCTTTTTACAGATATGATTTTATGTTTGGGAAAACCTAGATTTCACCAAAAAACTATTACAACTGATAAACAAGTTCAATAAAGTTATAGGACACAAAATAAACATATAAAAATCAGTAGCATTTCTCTATGTACCAATAGTGAGCAATCGGCAAAAGAAACCAAAAAGTAATCCCATTTTTCATAACAACAAATAAAATACCTAAGAATAAACCAAAGATGTGAAAAATCTCTAAAATACAGACTATAAAACACTGATGAAAGAAATTGAAGAGGAAGCAAAAAAGAAAGATATTTTATGTTCATGGATTGGAAGAGTATTGTCAAAATATCTATACTACCAAAGTAATCTACAGATTCAGTGCAATCCCTATCAAAATACCAATTACATTCTTCACGGAAATTAAAAAACAATTATAAAATTTATAAAGAATCACAAAAGGCCAAGAATAGACAAAGCTATCTGGAGCAAAAAGAACAAAGCTGGAGAAATTCCATTACCTGAGTTTAAATTATAGTACAGAGATATAGTAACCAAAATAGCAGGATACTATCACAGAAACATACACATAGACCAATATAACAGAATAGAGAAACCAGAAACAAATACGCACACCTACAGTGAACTCATTTTTGAGCAAGGTGTCAAGAGCATACATTGGGGAAAAGACAAACTCTTCAATAAATGATGCTGGGAAAACTGGATATCCGTATGCAGAAGAATCAAACTTGAGCCCCATTTCTTTCCTTATACAAAAATCAAATAAAAATGGATTAAAGTCTTAAATCTAAGATCTCAAACTATGAAAGCACTATAAGCAAACATTGGGAAAACTCTCCAGGACATTGGTCTGGGCAAAAATTTCTCGAGTCATACTCCTCAAGCACAGGTAACCAAAACAAAAATGGACAAATGGCATCACATTCAAGTTAAAAAGCTTCTACACAGCAAAGAAAACAAATAAAGTGATGAAATAATCCACAGAATGGATAAAATATTTGCAAACTACCCATGTAACAAGGGACTGATAACCAGAATATATAAAGAGTTCAGGAAAAAAATCTAATGATCTGATCAAAAAATGAGCCAAAGATTTGTATAGACATTTCTCAAGAGAAAACATACAAATAGTAGGCAGTGATATTAAAAGGTGTTTAACATCACTGATCATCAGAGAAATACAAATCCAGACTACAATGAGATATCATCTCATCCCAGTTAAAATGGCTTTTATCCAAGTCAGGCAATAACAAATACATGTGAAGATATGGAGAAAAAGGAATTCTCACACATTCTTGATGAGAATGTAAGTTAGTATAACCACTATGGAGAACAGTTTGGAGGCTCTTCAAAAAACTAAAAGTAGATCTAACATATTATCCAGCAACCCCACTATTGGATAGATACCCAAAGAAAGGAAATCAGTGTATTTAAGAGATATCTGTACTCCCCTGTTTGTTGCAGCACTTTTTACAGTAGTCAAGATTTGGAAGCAACCTAAGTGTCCATTGGCAGATAAATGGATAAAGAAAATCTGGTAGTTATACACAATGGAGTACTACACAGCCATAGAAGAATGAAATTTTTGTCATTTGCAACAATATGGATGGAACTAGAGATCATTATGTTAAGCGAAATAAGTCAGGTACAGAGTGACAAACTTTGTATGTTCTCACTTATTTGCGGGAGCTCAAAATTAAACAAATTTTTTAGTATTTTCTAAGATTAGATAGTTGTAGGTTTGTGGTCTTATTTCTGGTTTCTCTGTTCTGTTACATTGGTCTATGTGTCTCTTTTTTATACCAGTACCACACTGTTTTGTTTATTATAACCCTGTGAAATAATCTGTACACAAGTTTACCTATGTAACAAACCTGCATTTGTACTCCTAAACTTAAAATTTAAAAAAAATTGGCTGGGTGCGGTGGCTCACGCCTGTAATCCCAGCACTTTGGGAGGCTGAGGCGGGTGGATCACGAGGTCAAGAGATTGAGACCATCCTGGTCAACATGGTGAAACCCCGTCTCTACTAAAAACTACAAAAAATTAGCTGGGCATGGTGGCGTGTGCCTGTAATCCCAGCTACTCAGGAGGCTGAGGCAGGAGAATTGCCTGAACCCAGGAGGTGGAGGTTGCCGTGAGCCGAGATCGTGCCATTGCACTCCAGCCTGGGTAACAAGAGCGAAACTCCGTCTCAAAAAAAAAAAAAAAAAAAAAAAATTAAAATAACTGAACATACTGGGATAGAGAGTAGAAGGATGGTTACCAGAAGTTGGGAAAGGTAGTGGTGGAAGGTGGGAATTGTTAATAGGTAAAAAACAATCATTAGAAATGATAAATAAGATCTAGGATTTGATAGCACAATGAGGTGACAATAGTCAATAATAAATATACATTTTATTTTTTACTTGTTGTTGTTGAGAGTTTCTGTCACCCAGAGTGGAGTGCAGTTGTGTAATCTCAGCTCACTGCAACCTCTGCCTCTCAGGGACAAGCAGTTTTCCTGTCTCAGCCTCCCAAGTAGCTGGGACTACAGGAGTGTACAACCACACCCAGCTAATTTTTGTATTTTTAGTAGAGATGGGATTTCACTCCCAATATGCTGGGATTACAGGTGTGAGCCACCTCGTTCAACCTTTTAACTGTACATTTTAAATAACTAAAAGAGTATAACTGGATGGTTTGTAACACAAGGGACAAATGCCTTGAGTGTACTGATGCCTCATTTTACATGATGTGATTATTAAACACTGCATGCCTGTAACAAAATATCTCATATGCCCCTTAAATATGTCCACCTACTATGTACCCACAAACATTAAAAAGAGAATTAAAAAAAAAAAAAAAAGCATTGTGAACTTGAAAGGATTTCGCAATTTGTTGGCCCATTGGTTGAGATAAATTAATTTAGCTCTGCTGTTTTTGCGCTAGGAAGTAAAGTGTCTGCTGTAATGCCTAAATTTGCATGCCTGTGTCTTGTTATTTGTTTATGGGCTCTCCAGAGCCCAGATGATGTTTCATTTATAACAGAGCTCAGATGATTGCCCTTGTGCAAACACATTGGCCCCATAAACTTTAAGGCAGTTGTGATCAGTTATGTCACATCCTTTTATAAAGTAGAATGACTGCTTAGCTGCCAGGCTCACAAAGAGCAGTTCCTCTGTGTTTTCCGTGAAGTTGCACTGATCAGGATATAGCCTTACCTGATGTGTATACACAAGAATATCCTATGAAGATCTGCATTAGTTCTTCCATTCAAAGGAACTGGCAAAGACCATCAGTATTTTGTGATGAGCTTCTTTAATATTATACTTGATATTGGCTCATCATGTAACTAGGTTACATGAATCGAATTAAATTCAACAGA